TAAGTCGTTTCTGTTTCTGAACTCAGTTTTTGGAAATAGGCTCTGCCTTTGAGCATTTTTAGCAGTACCCTCTTGGTTGACTAACAAACTTTCTTGGTCGATTGAGTCGTTTCTGAAACCAGTTTATGGCAGAATGCTCTTAGTCGACTAACTCTGTCTCTTGGTGGACTAAGTGCTCTCTGTTTCATGATTTGCTTGAACCCGCCAGCTGATTTGATATAAAAAATGTGCCTTATTGATTGTGTGATGTGTATTCATAAATGAATTTCATACTCACCATGCTGATTTGATATCTAATCTCATGCAAAAAGGTTTTACATTGCAAGGTGATACAAAGGGTTTTAGTGTATTACCATGATCGGTGTTTTGAAAATGGTTTGAAATGATCTTTTAAAAACCCGATTTGACTTTAAATAGTTTTATTAGACCAGGAGATTTTAGAGTAGGCTGGTTCTCACTTCGGTTAAGTGTGACCCTTGTGCACAAGTGAGCTCTAGCTAGAGAATCTTTGGATCACCGATGGGCTATTAGACATAGCTGGGGCCATAGTCTATGATTGCCACGGGTTGCATATGTGGCTAGGCCACAAGTGATATTCACGATTGCGACTGCTTGATTTCTTCGATGTCAGCCAGCATCATTGAGACTGCCATGGCTGTGGGGATTTGGTGGAGCGGAGCTCCCAGATGTTATTACATGGAAGCGAGTCAACGAGCTTTATTATTCTATTCCTACTTGAGCGTGATATCTCTTTGGGTTTTCACGCACATAGTTTTTTCCATGGTGAGAAGTAACTATTTTCTGTAACTCCCTTATTTAGACGATGACGTTGGATTTTAATTACTCGTGATCGAGGTGATTTAGGGAATTACTTATAAACTTTGTTAATGATTGATTCCATGGGAGCTCGCGCGACAATATTAATTGCTTTAAGCCAATATTTAAATGATTTCCATGGTAGAAATCTTACATGAATTGGTTTGATATTTGATTTAAATGCCTATTTTGCATTAACTTACTAGTTTTAAATACAAGGCACTAGCCTCCCTTTTGAGTTAATTTGTTTTTATATATTCCTATATTTTTAATATTCAAATCTTCTGCCTTTAGCTTGTTTCCCATCTACGCTCTACTCACGGGGTTGATGATCACTAAGTCTGTGAGACTCACCCCATGCACTTTCTTTTGTAGATATGTAATTAGTTTAAGTGCATTGCTCAACACATCGAGACTTGTTGCAAGGTAGGTAATGGCATCATGTAGCCTTTCACTCTGAGTTGCTCCGCTGCTTAAAGGTCATGTTGTGTTGGATAGTCAAGCTTATGATGAGTAATAGTTTATGAAAATGTATTTGTCAAAACTTGAGGTTGTGTGATGATTACTACATATTACATTGAACATGTTGTGAA